GGAGGGTGGGGGGTCACCTGCCCCGGGGTTTGGGGGGCTGGCGGGGACCATCCCCTTTGCACGGCGCTCAGCGCCCGCGTCCCGACCCAGGCTGAAAGGGGGAACAGCCAGGGCAGGGGTGCAAAAGCCGCTGCCGCCTTAGCGATGGTCTTTGCATCTGAAGCCACGCTTTAAACTGGCTTTTAGCTCAACCCAAAATAAAATTGGTGGCCGGTCCCCTACATGCCCAAAACACCCAAATCTAAACCCAAAGTACCACGCAGGGCTGTTTCTCCATCCTTTTGCTGACCCATGTTACCTGGAGCAGCAAGGCGACCCAGCCGGTGACCTGGTCCCTGGCCATGGCCCTGCTGGGTTCCCCCTGGGTCCGGGGGGTGACGGAGGGTCCGCGTGGTGCTTCTTGCCGGGTCGTGTCCCTGCAGGGCTCACTGGTTTTCCTGGTGAGCGGGCTGGCAGTGCTGGGCTACGCGGCAGCCCTCAGTGCCCAGCCCACATACCAGGGGGTCGTCCGGGCAGTGTGTGGGGCAGCAGCGGGGAAGCTCTGTGAGGTCTGCTTCCTCTTCAACCTCTTCATGATCTCCGTGGCCCTCCTCAGGGTGGTGGGCGACCAGCTGGAGAAACGTGAGTTGTTTCCCCCCACCACGTTCAGGGCTTGCTTGGGGCCGGTGGCTCCTGGGAGTGAGGGGAAGTTGGTCCCATGTGGGCTGGGGGCAGCCCCGGGCTTTTCTTGGGACGCCCAAGAACATGGGGCTCCTTGGCCCTGTCATGGTGTGGTGCTCCCGAACCCCTTGGGCCACCTTTCAGGGCGCAGCTGACCCCCCCCTGCTGCCCCCCACAGTGTGTGACTCCTTGTACCCCAACGGGACGCTGAGCGGGGCCCCCCCGCCGCCCCCCTGGTACGCGGACCAGCGCTTCACCCTCTCGGCTCTCTGCATCCTCGTCATCTTCCCACTCTCCGTCCCCAGGGAGATCGGCTTCCAGAAGTACTCCAGGTACCACCTGAGCTACCCCCACACTGGCCCACCCCTGGGCACCCTGTACCCCAGGCCACCTCCTCCAGGGTCCCTGTGGGGCCATGGGACCCCTCTCCCTCCTGGCTGCCAGGGGTCTCCGTGCTGATGCTCTCCCATGCCCCGGCAGCATCCTGGGCACGCTGGCCGCCTGCTACCTCACCCTGGTCATCGTCCTGAAATACCACCTGCAGGCAGAGAGCCTGGGCTTGCCTGAGCTCCCCCAGCCCTCCAGGTAGGGGGGGGGGGTCAACCCCACATCGCTCGCGCCCTGTCCTTCATCAGCAGTGGCATGGGGCAGGGCTGGAGGCAGTGCAGGGGGTTGCTGGGGCAGGGGGGTGTGAGCTGGGGACAGTGCTGGCAGGGTGGTGGTGGGGTGGCAGCTCCCAGCCCCAGCTTTCACCCTGGCAATCCCCACTTCTCCCAAAATCACCGGGTGGGAGGTTCCTGCAGTGGCATCCAGGCTTCACAGCTTATGCCACCAAGGTCCCCTCTGCCTCCAGGGGCCTCACGCCCTTTGCTCTGCACTTCCTCCCCCTCATGCCACAGGGCCTCCTCCTGGGCCTCTGTCTTCAGCGTCATCCCCACCATCTGCTTTGGCTTCCAGGTAGGTCACCCTGGCCCCACTGTCACCGGCTGCCAGGGCAGTGCTGGCAGCCTCCCATGGCATCCCGGACCATGGGGACACCATCCCTTGCGGGGGGGTGGTTGCAGGGAAGGGGACCTGTGGCTGTCACCAGAGATGGCTGTGGGGCAGGACACAAGCCCCTGGGGATGGGGGAGAGTGGAACAGGGCACCCACAGGTGGGAGGGAAGGCACTGGTGGTGAGGGTGTCCCTGCACAGGGCCCCAGCGCTGTCGCCCCGTGCCTTGCAGTGCCATGAGGCCTGCGTGGCCATCTACAGCAGCATGCGCAACCAGAGCTTCTGCCACTGGGTCACCGTCTCCGTGCTCTCCATGCTCATCTGCCTGCTCATCTACTCCCTCACTGGTAACCCCAGCACTGGAGCCCTTCAGCCTCTCCTTGCCCCAGAGGTCCCCTGTCCCCAGAGCTCATCCATCCTCCTCGGGGCTCCTCCGTCCTTCTCAGCGGCATGGCTGCCCACCCCCTGCCTCCTCGTCAGCAGGGCTCTATGGCTACCTGACCTTCGGCGAGGCCGTGACATCTGACGTCCTGATGTCCTACCCAGGGAACGACCCAGTTGTCATCGTCGCCCGCCTGCTTTTTGGCGTCTCCATTGTCACCATCTACCCCATCGTGGTGCTGCTGGGCAGGTGAGGGGGTGATGGCAAGCCAGGTGTTCCCCCGGCCAGTGCAGCTCTGCTGGGTGCCATCAGCCCCCCCGACTCCCTTTACCCAGATCGGTGGTGCGGGACATGTGGGTGACCCCCAAGCGTGGGGCCACGGCAGTGTCCGAGGTGCACGAGCGGCGGAGCCGGGTGGCACTGACGGTCGCCTGGATGGCCGCCACACTCGCCATCGCTCTGTTTGTGCCAGACATCGGCAAGGTCATTGAGCTCATCGGGGGCATCAGCGCCTTCTTCATATTCATCTTCCCAGGCAAGAGTGAGCAGCAGGAGGGGAGGGCTCACGGGTGCCGAGAGCATGGCTGCGGAGGGTGAGGGGGGCTGCAGTGGTGGCCCTCCTGGCCCCATTTTGGGGGTGCAGGGGTGTGCTTATGGGGGATGCTGCAGTGGGACCTGGGTGAGGGGTGCCATGGCAGCACGGCTGAGCCTCTGCATTGGCAGCAGGGCTGTGCCTGGTGTGCATGACCGGGACCTGCACCCTTGGGCCACGCAAAAAGTGAGTGTCTGCGGGCTCGGCAGTGGGCAAGGGCAAGGGGCAGGGGCAGGGTGCAGCATCCCATGACCCATGGCCCAGGCAGGGTCCCTGGGAGTCACCTTGGCCAAGGTGGGAGCACCATGAGGAGGGGGATTTGGGGCACCTGTAGGCACTGAAAGCAGCGGGACATGGGGGCTGTGGTGGGGCTGAAAGGTGGGTATGGAGGGATGTGCTCTGACATTCGGGATGTGCCTGGATATCAGGGATGTGCCCAGGCAATGGGGATGTACCTGGGTATTGGGGCTGTGCCTGGGTATCAGGGATGTGTCTGGATATCAGGGATGAGCCCAGGCATTGGGGAGGTGCCCAGGTATCAGGGGTGTGCCCGGGTACCAAGGGTGTGCCCAGGCAGTGGGGGTGTGCCCAGGTATCGGGGGTGTGCCTGGGTACCAGGGATGTGCCCAGGCATCAGGGAGGTGCCCAGGTACCAGACCCCTTGCAAGGCAGGGTAGCTGCAGGGGAAGGGGAGCCGCAGGGTTTGGAGGCACTGGTGCTGGGGCTGGGGTGGGGGTCAAGGTGGGGGTCAGAGGGGCATGGTGCCCCAAGGCGGGCAGCCATCAGGTGTTTAGTGTCTGTTGCGCCAGGGCGGTGTGTCCCCATCACCACTCCTGGCCAGAGAGGTTGGGGCACAGCAGCAGCCCATGTTGGGAGGACCTGGCATGGTGCTGGTGAGTTTTGGGGTAAGCATGTGCCAAAGCATGTCTGCGGTGCCCGTGGGGGAGCAGCAGCACCTGAGTGAGGGTAGAGGTGATGTGGGGTGGTCCTGCCCCCCATGGCAGCCAGAGGGAGCACCCCAGGACCTTGGGGTCTCAGCCAGGAGGGTGCCCTGGGGGGGCAATGGCTGGCTGGGCAGGGGCAAGGGTGCCCCCAGGGGTGCCAAAGTGCTGGCATGCCAAGGCAGGAGGTGAGCAGGGGCACCCAGGTGGGCAACAAGGACTTGGAGAGGTCCCTCAGGGAGACCCGCCAGGGCATGAGCCCAGGAGTGCCGTCACCAGAGGGGACAACACGAGCCAGGGCGATGGGGACAGCAAGGGGACAGTCCCAGCCTGTCTGGGGCAGTTCAGGAAGGTGCATGGTGCCGAGGACCCTACGATGGAGCAGCAGTGGGGTTTGGGGGTGAGTGCCGTGTTCCAGGGGCTCAGTGTCCGGCCGAGGCGGGGGGCTGTGTGCTCGGGGAGAGGGGGACAGGGAGGTGCAAACCCCCAGGTTGCAGGGATGGGGATGGAGCTGGGGAGGGGACAGGGGTGGGGGCATGTGGCGGTAGGGTGGGGGCTGGGGGTGTGTGGGAGCGGCTGGGCCTGAGCACGGGGGGGGGGCAAAGTAGGGTTTGTGCCCCCTCAGCGGGGCCACCAGGCGCAGGCAGAATTGGGGATGGTCTTGTGGTGGCAGATGCCACGCTTTTGACCAGGTTTTGTATGTTGTTGCAGTGGGCACAGGGGACAAGCCAGAGGGGCTGCTGGGGTCTTCGGCCATCCGCCGGGAGTGATGCAGAGGATCATGGCCAAGGAGGCTGAGACCCTGCAGACATCCCCACACCTGGGGGTCCGGGCACCAGGGGGTGGCATGTTACTGGGGGTCGGCTCTGTCCCACTAGTCCCCTGCTCATGTCCCCTCAGGGCTGCTCTCATCTCCTGGGGCGTCCTCTCTGTGCTCGGCGGCGCCTTCGTCTGCGGGCAGAGCGCTGCGCTGGCTGTGCTGGGGCTGCTGCGCTGAGGGGCCATGGCCTCCCCCTCCCATCGTGCCCCCCCCAGCCCCCTCACCCCGGACAGCCGCCCCGGACACAGCTACACCACTGGGTCCCGTTGTGGTTTTATTTGGCATCACCGTCCCCGTTGTACAGCAGCTAATAAAGATGGGACAGGGCATCGGTGAGGGCCCCGTGCCGCACACCCTGAGGGACCCCCGGGCATGGCGGGGTGGGGGGGGCAGGACTGGCACTGCACACAGACAGACATGCACAGACAGACATACAGACCCCAAAAAGCAGGGGGGGAGTCACCCCCACGCTTGCAAGGCACCCGCTGCCACCCCGCACACATGAAGGAAACCCCTTGGGATCACCCGCACCCTGCAGGACTAAGGGGCACCTCGGGAGCAGGGATACCCCCCTTTGCCACCACCCTGACCCACCCCAGGGACACAGGTCCCATCCCTGCAGGGGCACACACACTGTGCTGAGCACAGCCTCACCCCCCGCCCCCAGCCCCCTCCCCAGGTGGCCCTGGGGACTAGCAGGGACCCCCAGCTTACCCCCTCCAGGGGGGCTCCAGCCTCCCACTCCCACCCCTGCTCCTCATCACTGGCTCCCTACCC